GAGTTTACTAAGCTATTTTTAGAAAAGGATCTTGTTAAAAAAAGGCGAGAGAGAATGAATTTAGAGGTTAGAAGATGCAATCGCAACTATTTCACAATAGAACTTAACCATAAAGAAAAGAGAAGATAATTAAAAATTGATTCATGCTTGGTGTGTAACATGGACTGATCTAGTAACAGATGCACGCGGAAAATTAATGCACGAGAAAAGCGTGCTCAAGCTTGCATGCTGTTAGAACGATTCACCAGTCATTTTCGAAAGGTATCACTAATTCACTTCAATTTTTGAATTCTTTTTTAGACCTATCCAAATCTTACAAGCATCATTAAAGCAGGAGGATATCGTGCCATGGGAGAATGTCGAAAGTTATTCAAGAACGAGATTTGGAATTGTACCATTGATAACAGACACATGATTAAGGAGTTACCCAGTTTTGTTAAACCAACCGTTCCTTATGGTAAGTGTATTCCGTGACTTAAACCTTATCTTTTGAAGCCCTTTGAAAAATTACGTCAAAAAAGTCAGTTTTACCCCCAAGCCACGCTATGAAGATGCTAAGTGGTGAATTTCGAGAAGGAAGTATTCATTCCAAAAAGTTTCATTTAACTCTCTAACTCCCAAGATCTGATAAGTAATACTCCTTACTATCTACCATACAATTCTTGTGATGTTAGCAGGGAGAATTTTATATTGGATCAACTTTTAATCCCGTAATTGATATTTTTCTTTATTCCCATCACTTGTCTGCTTGATATTGTATCGATATTGTAAGGAGGAACTCTGTCTTGGTCACTCATGGGAGTTATAAGGGTTAAAAAACATATATATGTGCCCACGTGAAAACATCACTAGACAGGCCCTCACATGAGCGCTGCGGGACGCGTGTTCTCCGCCGGCAGGAAGATTAAGGACAAGGTTTGTCGGGGTCTGGCACTATCTGTGACAGACCCCCGCAAACCTTTCACCGGCCCGCACTGCTCAAGGCTTCATGCCTTCCCGCAGGCGAAGAAACGCTCCTATCGAAGCGCTAGTAATGAGGGCGTGAGAATGGTGTAGTGTAGTGTAAAATAATAAACTAACTTGCAAATACCTCGTGGCTTTTTATCTCTAGGCACTGGGACATTTATTTCATGCCTCACCATTTGATAATACAGATTTACTTTCCGGAAAAACACAAGATTCATTCCCCGATATTCTATCCTTCAATAAGTACGTGCGCTATGATTGGTCCATTAAAGGGTTATATTTCACTGTACGGCTCGCTTAATTCAAAATTGTGTTTGAATTGTAATCTCCTTCCTCCATCTTAACCCAGAAATATAATAAATATCTTACTAACCTCGTTTACTCGGTCCCTACAGTAAGTTACAGGATGTGTTTTTTTTCCGCTGGGATGTAAGGCCTAAGCGCGAATCTTGCGGGTCAAGTATTCGTGCGGAAAAATCGAGGTTAGTAAGGGGTATTCATTTTTGCCATTTTATTGTAGCTACACGGGAGATTGCATTCATCATCTCCATCAGTACAGCCGCTGTTATAAATGAGGTCGCCCAACAGTGCCAACGTAGCAGAATACCCGGATGTAGCTGCGATCTGAAGAAAGAAGATAATGGAAACGAAGACTTTCAATGGGGCGGTTGTGGTGACAACGTCAAGTTCGGAGAGAAGGAGGCAAGGCGTTTCATTAACGTCTTCATGAATGGAAACAATGCTCGGAAAGCTTTTCACTTCCACAACTCTGAAGTCGGAAGAAAGGTAACGTTACCTGCTTTGCTTATGTCAGGTTCATTAACCCTTTAACCCCTAAGAGTGACCAGCTTCAAATTTCTCCTTACCATATCACCACTGATTCACTCATTAAGTTACGAGAATAGGGGAAATGATCACCAACTAAAGCAGTTCTTGATGGTAAACAAATTCTCCTTGTCAGCACCTAAGGAAATGCAGGAAGAACAGTATGGAAAATGCGAATACAAATGTTTGGGTGTTAAGGGTTAAACCCGCTACACAGTGTCTTTTCTCAGAGCCTTGGTTGAGTTTCCTGCACGACTCTCATAAGCTAGGCTGGGGATTTTCAAACCCTGACCCCTGATCATAAAATTTTTTCGCCGAAAAGCTCGTTATTTTATTACGAAACAGCGGTCCTTGCTTGAATTTTAGAGACCGGTCATTATTCATCGCTTAGGGAGGGATGGGAGAATTTCTCGCGTAAAATTTAATGCGGAATTTCCTTGTCGGGTGTTGAACTATTTCATAGCAGCGTTAGCCCTTCCGCAAATAATTGTGTTTTCCATAATAACAACCTGTAATTCATTTAATTATCTTAATGATTCAAGTGTTGAAATGTTACTTTCCTTTGCAACATGAACCGATTTTTCCTTTGTTAGGTTGTTCGATTGAGTCGAAAGAAAGTGTGTAAATGCAACGGACTTTCAGGAAGCTGTACCGCGAAGATTTGTTGGAGGCAAATGGAGCCATTTGAGGTCATTGGGAAGAAGTTGAAATTAAAATACAAAAGTGCTTTGCGAGTGTGGTACGCGAATAATAAGCTTCACGAGCGAGGCAAAAACAAATTGACAGCGGAAAAGAGAGAGAAAAAACTTGTCTACCTCGACCCTTCGCCGGATTACTGCGTATTTAACAAAACGCTGGGCTCCCCTGGAATGTTGGGAAGAACATGTCGGAGTGATGAAGGCACCACCGTGAAAAAGTGTCGCTCTCTTTGTAACGCTTGCAAATTGAAACACCAGACAGTCCAGGTGGTTAAGGAAGATAAATGCCGCTGCAGGTTTGTGTGGTGTTGCAACGTGGAATGCGATACTTGCACAAGCAAATATCATGCAACCACCTGTGTTGTGTAAGACGGACATGTATTGTCTGTTATGTTAAACATCATGAAACGTTTCTCGACGTGACGAGATGCAAGGACTGAACAATGGCTGGAATTGAGAGAGTCACTTTGGGAAAAGGAAAAATAAATAAACGAAACTGCATATATTATCAAAAATACCTTGGATCTCATGCGTTCAAGTAGCAACTGCAAGAAAAGTAAAGGCCAAACCCGTATACATTACTTTAAGACTGCTACTCATATAAATATATCACTAATTTCCTCTTATATTGCTTTTCTTAACAGTACTAGTATTTTTGGTTAAAACGAAAAAATTGGGAGTTGAAACATTTCGGGATAATATTTGCTATGCGAAAAGTCGTGTTATATCTTCGCTCCATTCATTAGGCCTAGTTAGTCTTTAGAACCCATTTCTAGATGTCCCTTTCTGGGAAAAGTGACGTTATTAGTGATCGAGCTCTTCTACGTATCATGTAACACTTATTTCTAGGCTCCATAGCCTGTGAGCAGGTCCTCATCATCAGCACCTGGGAACGAGCCTTGAAGTGTGAGGCCTTGAGAAATGTGAGCCGGTGAGAGGACTGCAAGGGGGTCTGGCGCTGATAATTGTTAGTGCCAGGCTCCAGAAAACCACTCCCCGACTCGTCTCAAATCTTCCCGCGGGCAGAGAGACGCGTGTTCTGTGGCGCCACTGATAATGATGGCCTACACGCAGACTAGAGGCTCCGTATTGTTTCTAACAAGAACAATAGACACATGTACAGTTAGGAAAGAGGTATTAGAAAGTGTGAAGCATTGTTGGGCGTGATTGAAAAGAGATGGGTTTTTGGTGTTGCCAAGAATGAATATTTCAGAAACATCGCTGGTGGTGGGCGGAAAGAACAGAAGCATTTCATAAAACAATGAAATAGCCAGCGTTATTTGTATGAGAGCTCGCACCGAAGTGGGTGGGCTGTGGCTATTTCATTCCCAATATTTCTTTTTGAAGTTTGAATCAACTCATCTGCTATTTTGGAGCGAACGCGAAATGTAGACGTTAATTTGAAAAAACAACAACCGTAACAACAAAAGGCGGATGATGAAATAAAAAAGGTTTGTGGCTTAGCACAGTACGATGGCTCATCTGACATCTCCTAAAAGCTTATATTGTACTTAGAATACGTAATCGCATATTTGCTCGAAAAAATAGGGTTGCGAGTTTCAGAAGATGTGAAAATTGACAGAGTCACACCTTTAAGAACCAATAAAATTCAAATGAATTTGCCAAAACTTCATTAAAGATGAAGAGCCAATCTGTGTTTAGTTATTTTGCCGACTAGTAAAACGTGAACCAATAAAAAGCAGACTGTTAAAAGGCGGACCCATAAAAAGCAGACTAGTAAAGCGTGGAAAGATAAAAGTAGACCAGTAAAACGTGGACAAACAAAGGACGAATTAACAAAACGTAGACTAAA